GTTAGAAATCATTTTAAACCATTTTCATCAGATTTTAAATTCAAAAATTTAGTTTCGTTTATTTCTTCCAAATTGCTCGAAGGGAATGACGGTAAACAAAAGAAGAAAAAGGAGAATGAAAGAGGAAAGAGTAATTAAAAATCAAATTTTGTTGCATAATCTATAGTTTGTTAAAAAAAAAATAAATAAATGTTAAAAAATAGTTTAATTTTTCTAATCGATCTAAGGTTTTCTTTAACATTTTGACTTTAGAGAGTTCAACAACATTTTTACCGACAACTTTGAACAGCTAGGAGTGCCCTACTGAAATATCGCTGATTTAAAATTCCTGTTATTTGAGGAGACATATTCCATGGACAAAATAGTTACACCACTGAAAATATCTAAATAAAAATCTAAGGTTTACATTAACAGTGGGTGGCAAAAGTTTAAGGATTATAACATTCAATTCCTTAATATAAAGTTAGATAGTTTGTATTATGGATTATCCTGCTGTATAACTATACTATCTTATACAATCTCCTTTCTAGAGATTGGCGAATTTGGTTTTTTTTCATTTCGTTCGTTCAACCTTCATGAACGACCCATTTCATTAATGTTTTTTCAATAATTTATTCCATTTGTTCTCAAAATTATTGTTCCAAGAATTTTAAATCGTTCGTTTTTTTTCGTTTTTAAAGATGATAGAGTTTAATTTCTCTGAGCATACCAAGTCGTTCGTTCATCCTTCATTTTTTGTCTGAACGACACCATCCTTCACGAAAATGTTCGTTCTCAAAACTATGTATACATTCACAAAACTATGTTTTTTATTCTCAAAACTATGCTCGTTTACAAAACTACGTTCGTTCACAAAGCTATGTTCGTTCACAAAGCTAAGTTCGTTCACAAAACTATGTTCGTTCACAAAACTATGTTCGCAAAACTATGTTCGTTCACAAAACTACGCTTGTTCTCAAAACTTTTACGTTCACAAAAATATGTTCGTTCTCAAAACTATGTTCGTTCATAAAACTATGTTCTCAAAACTATGTTCGTTCACAAAAATATGTTCTTTCTCAAAACTATGTACATTCACAAAACTATGTTTTTTATTCTCAAAACTATGCTCGTTTACAAAACTACGTTCGTTCTCAAAATTATTTTCGTTCACAAAACTATATCGTTCACAAAACTATGTTCGTTCACAAAACTATGTTCGTTCTCAAAACTATGTTTGTTCTCAAAACTATGTTTGTTCACAAAACTATGTTCGTTCTCAAAATTATTTTCGTTCACAAAACTATGTTCGTTCACAAAACTATGTTCGTTCACAAAACTATGTTCGTTCTCAAAACTATGTTTGTACACAACACTATGTTCGTTTACAAAACAATGTTCGTTCACAAAACTATGTTCGTTCACAAAACTATGTTCGTTCACAAAACTATGTTTGTTCTCAAAACTATGTTTGTTCTCAAAACTATGTTCGTTCACAAAACTATGTTCGTTCTCAAAACTATGTTTGTACACAACACTATGTTCGTTTACAAAACAATGTTCGTTCACAAAACTATGTTCGTTCACAAAACTATGTTCGTTCACAAAACTATGTTCGTTCACAAAACTATGTTCGTTCTCAAAACTATGTTCGTTCTCAAAACTATGTCCGTTTTCAAACATTGTTCGTTCACAAAAACGACGACCAAGTATTTTTATCCTAAATGCAATAATTAAAAGTTTTCGCAGGGAATACTATATTCGAAATTCACACGTTATACACCTATTTTATTGATGTTGACTGGTGAAAAGTATCAAATATATAGATCCTATTGTACATCCTTGAGATGTAAAGGAATGTAATGAACAAACACACTTAATTATACGAAAAAAGTTGAAAGAATTTTTTAAACCTTAAAAGTGGCGTAAAATATTGCAGTTTCAAACCACTCTATAATACATTCAGTTTCTCATGGGTGATTAAAAAATGATACCTTATATCTTTTTCTATCAAAACAAGTTATTTAAACGGGGTTTAAAGTTTGCTGTTTATAAGTTTTGTTTTCTGCTTTTAAAAAAAATGCATATGAAAAATTATTCTTTATAATTGTAAATAAATTAATTATAATTTTATAATTATTGTATTTAATGGAACACCGTGGTTAACAAATACAAATAATTTTAACTGAAAATGCACGGTAACCCCGTGTTTTACGAAAACTTTTCTTATTTTTGCAAAATGGTTTTAAGATGAAATAAACTTAAGGGATTTGTTTTTGCCACAAATTCTGATTTTCTAATCCATTTATCTTTGCAACCTGATGCCGTATTCTGTTAAATGAAATAATCTAAGTTTGATAAATATGAACGGCTTACACAATAAGGTTTCAAAGATATATGGGATTGACTTTGTGGCAAAATCTCAATTCCTTAAGATGAAAATGAACTTCAACTAATACCCACAACTATAAAGCTTGATATTTCCTGAATGCTAAATATAAATATACTGAGTAGAGTGGACGACTAGCTAGCCGGTGAGCGTGTACGCATGCGCAGTTTAGGAAACTTGTGTACTACGAGAAGATACTAAAAGAAAGCAGAAACAGAAAGAGAAAGTCTTTATTTTACTTTCTCTCCTTCTAATTATTTTCACTTTTTAAAATCCTAGAAAATGAGGACTTTGCTCTACATCTTTATATCTGCCCCTCCCTCCTCCCCTCTCCCTCTCTTCTTTGATTTTCTATGTGACACTCTTACAGTGTGTACCACAAAACATGACAGTTGAGAGAAGACTTGAAGATCGTCTTAATTCTTTAAAATAATTCACGGCATTCCTGCATCAACTTATTTTACAGGCAACAGATTGAAACTTTTTAATAACAAAGTATCACATTTTTTATCCTTTCCAAAATGTGGTTTTCCTGAAAGATTACCGGAGATAATAGAATTTCGTGCTAATTAAAACATTTATCGGTTTTGCATACCCAAAAAGAGAAACTAACAGATTTTTTCTTATTCCGCGGATTTGCTTGAAATATTTAGAAAATTTAAAAGGGTTCAATTTTACCCTTTTTATTGAACTGTAATTTTCATGTCTCCTGAGTCGAGGAGTACATTAGAATATTTGAATAAACATAATCTTACCTAATAAAAGCCTGAACCTATTTGTTTCGAATATTGTGTGGAGCCTTATATGGTCTTGAGGCCAAGTGCTTTGCATTCAGGATTCTGAAATCTAAGAGGTTCGCTTTGCATTTAAAGGGAGTGTTCGCGAAAAATGAAAGAGGGTATAGGCTTAATGCGATAAAAAAGCGCTTTTGATCGCTATTAATCTTACTTCTATCTGTTGCGTCTATAAGGAGAAAATTGTTAAAAACGACTCACACCCAAGAACGCAGCGTCCATACAAATTCGGAAAGATGCAACATTCAACTCGGCTCGTAAACAAATCAATTTAATTACTAACAAATCATTCAGATATTACAAACAGTAGTCATCGATTATTTTTCGACACATTCGTATATAATTAATATTTCATAATATTTTTGATTTTGTTTTTTAAAATAATTTTCGCTGGCGCTGGAATTTCGAACATTCCTGGAAAATATGAAAATGTCGTCTTCATTATCAAAAATCCTCGAAACAGGAATAAATATTTTCAAAAAATATCATGAAAAATACAAAATATCATGAAATATCAACTATTTACGATCTGCGTCGAAAAATAATCGATGACTATTGTTTGTAATATCTGAATGATTTGTTTGAAATTAAATTAATTTGTTTACGATCCGAGTTGAATGTTGCATCTGGTTGCATCTTTCTGAATTTGTATGGACACTACGTTCTTCGGTATTAGTCGTTTTTAACAATTTTCTCCTTATAGACGCAACAGATAGAAGTAAGATTAGTAGCGATCAAAAGCTCTTTTTTTATCGCATTAAGCCTATACCCCTTTCTCATTTTTAGCGAACACTCCCTTTAACAATGCTCTTTTTTGAAATCCTAAACAATTTGATCATGTTGCAATTCGAAGTGCAAAAAAAGCCAAATAAAGTCTCAAAGGAACTCATTTTTTTGCCACAATCTCTCATTTTTAAATCCCCATATATTCGCACCTTTTGGTATTTGGTAATTGGTATTTGGTAGACCTACAGTGCAAACCAGAAAACAATGGAATCGAAAGAAAAAAATATAGCAATATTTAAGCACTATTAGGTGAAATGGGTCTTTTTACACTGACAATTGCTATGTCGAATGTTCAGAATGTTCATAAAACTAGTTTAAGCCCTAACTTGAGTTTAAAAGTCGTCTTCCTATTTCAGAGTTCTCTGGCGTTTACTGTATTTTATTTCAAACTATGAATTCTGAAAGATTAAATAGCTGTATAAGTTTTAAATGTCAAAGGTTTACGCCATCAGATTATTAAAATACATGGAATAGAAAATTTGGGATTGCAACTTCAAAGGCATTGAGTCTTTGCCACAAACTCTGATTTTTTAATCCCAATATCTTTGAAAACCAATGTTGTAGACCTCAGATATTTCAAACTACGAATTTTGTTAGATCAAATAATCTAAGTTTGAAATAATAAAGGTTTACGCCATCAGATTGCACAGTTATAGGGATTAGCCAATTTGAGTTTGCGGCAAAGACTCAATTCCTTTGTTGTTGCAAGAACTTAGTTCCCTACCATCTAATTAATATTTAATTAGATAAATATTAAGTTGTTTAACACTAGAGCAGTTTACAGGAAATGAGTTGGTTCAACGAAACCTGCAGAGTCACAATTCTCCGGATTTTAGACTTTTTTTGCCACTTTCTATAGTTTTGCGTTTAACCAACCATTTTAAATCTATTGAAATTTATTTATAAAAAACAAAAAAAAGAATTATGCATCCTCATCCTCATCCTCATCCTCATCCTCATCCTCATCCTCATCCTCATCCTCATCCTCATCCTCATTTATCTAACTAATTTCAGCGTATACGCTCTACCTCTCGAAAAATACACGGCGAGCGCTGACTCAGTCTGAACTGAACCGTAGGACTGAGCACTCTTCGTGAGATGGAAGTTTAATAGTGTTGTGTGTAGTGTATATATATATAGTGATAATACTTCCTTGTTGAATATGGTTTAAGCTTCGGTTACAGTTGCTCCAGGCTCCTGAATTCTAGGCCCAGGTATATTCTTAGAAAGGTCAAGAAAAATGTTTTCGATTACGACATATCAGTAGTATTTGAGTGAACTAGTTTGTAGATTGTTAAAACACTGTAAACTGTGCTATAACAGTCATGCTAGAATAAGTAAATACTAAAGATCAAATATTCACGATTAGAAAAAATTCTATTTTTTTTTCGTAATTTATGATTGTCTATCGAACTTCAAAATTACGAAGATTTTGTTCAGAGTAAGATCAGACTGTTAGAAATACCTCACACGCGTGTGTAATCCATAACTTTTGGTTATATAGTTAGTATGTGTATTTTGAACAAACCGTAAAGATGTCTTGAATCTATGTTTTACAGTTTCAAAAATATACCACTGAAGTTTTTTTTACAAGTATGGAATCAAGAATTCTCAATCAATCAATTTAAAATTAATCTAAAGGTTAAAACGCTTTTTTTGCAAAAATCAGTAATTTTTGAATAATTTCTCATGTGTGTTAGATTCAAGTATCTTTACTTCTAAAGCTATTTCTAAATTTGTCATTTATTTGATTTTTCTCGTATTTTAGAAGATCTCTCCATTAATTTGCTTTTAGCAGTCTTTCAACCTTTCCTCTTTCTATCAAATTCAAGTAGATATAGTATATTCGAGTAGATATAGTATATTTAAACATAAATCATAAAGTATAATAGCTCTAATCTACCTTTTCGTCTCATATTATATAGATAAATATATATTTAAATTATCATTGATTTCGCTCAAGTTTTCTAATATTTGAAAAAATGGCACTCTAATTTTATTTACATTCGGAAAATTTTTTTTTTATACAAACAAGAGTTCTTAATAATATCTTACTAAATAATATTTTATTTGTTTGGTAAATCACTGTATAGTGTATAATATACCACCAGTGTATTGTTCAGAGAAATTCCTGAGCTCGAAACTTCAGAGTACGTAATAAAACCCAGTTTCGGAAACCCGGGTTATATAAATGGGGTCAGCCAGTTTTGTAGATACCAATATTTGTGTTAAGAAACACTTTTTCATGTGGTTTCTTTCTATTTCATTTGTTTTCTGATTTCTTAATATAAAAATCTACGCAAAAGGAAACACTTGAGTTTCGTTCAACGATACTCTCTTAAATTCCCGGCTCTTAGTAAAGCCTGAAAATTCAGGGCTAGATTTTCATCATTAGTGTACAAACACTTAGCAACCAAGGCCTGGGGTTTCTTATCATTATTTTAATCCAAAAAAGGTTTAAAGAAAATAATAAAAACTCTGGTGGTTTGATTAAATCTGGAATGGGGGGGGGGTGCACGTAAGACTTACTCATCCCATGTATAATTGCAGTAATATTTCATCTCTTTTTAATAATCTGTCATATAAATGGGTTTCAAAATTCAGGCTAATTGCGTTTTAACCAATACCTATCTGCAGGGGGGAAAGGGAAATAATTAGCTTATTTTTTATTGTCTATCTTTATTTGTTTTGCAAAGGCTTCTACTTCTATTTTGTGACTGTATTTATTAGCAGTTTAATTATGTAGTTTATAGTCGCGTGATGCACAAAAGAGTAAACTTTTTTTTAGTTTAAAATTAACAACTTATGAGTTCTAATCAATTCCTTTATTTCAGAGAGTAAAAATATAAAAAAATAATCGAGTCTTTGTCACAAATTCAAATTTGTTAACCCCTATATCTTTGCAACCTGAACTTAAACTTAGATTATTTGATCTGACAGAATTCACATTTTGAAATATATAAGGTCTACGAAGTTGGATTTTTTAGCTAAAGGGATTGTAAAATCAGATCGAGTTAATTGCAAAGACTCAATTCTATTCTGGAACAATTTCAAAATGTATCTAAGAAATTAAGAAATAGTATTTTTATTATCATTATTGTAATCGTTAAAATATTTGGTTTAAATCATTACAAATTATAATGTTATGGTTTCTGATTTTATAAAGGTTTTCGAATATTATCATTCATCTAAAAACAGAAATTCAATTCTCGATTTTTAAACATATTTCTGAAAGACGGCCATTAATAAATAAAATCTTTTAAAAAGAAAGATTGCAAATTTCAACAAAGCACAAATTTGTATGTGCAAATATTCTTAGATATGGTTCGGATCAAACAAAACAGTTGATATTTATGGAGCGCGGGGTCATGTACTAAATTCAAAAAAGTGCAAACCAATTTTTTGCAATAATTGCACGCAAATCCAACCGTTTGGGTTGTATTTAGTAAAGCTTTGCCACTAAACAAATATTTCTTTTCATAAAGGGACTCTTGGTGAAATTGTGAGGTCTCCTCTTAAAGAACGGGACCCTTGAAACTTTAGCTAATAAAGAGGAAGATATTATCGTCTTTCTAGTTTAAAAACTGTAACATTTTGTTAAATTCTCAAATGCTTTTCAAGCGAGAAATGTGCAAGTCACTTTAAGAATAACAACAAATACATATATATCTAATTTTGATGATGATTAAAATAATGAAATCCTATTAATTTATGCTAAAAAAGCAAGATTTTAGAAGCTTGATTTCAAGATACAGTATTGATGGAAAAACGCAGACATGTAAAGTTCTTGTTAGTTGAGCGTGGCTGCAATGAATGGTACAAAGGGCACCACTATCAAATTTTTGGTAGATTTTTAGTTTTCATCTCACGAGTTACGATCTCTCCAATATGAATTCACATGATCTCAATTTTGCATAAAATAAGCTGATCAAATGGAAAATATTATTGATTCTAATATTCAAATCTATTTGAAACAAAGAATGGATTTAGCGTATAACGAATCTAAACACTGACCTGCACAAACTCTAATGTTGAAGAAAGGAATTGAGTCTTTTACACAAACTTCTCCTTCCTATATATTGTCAACTCAATGTCGCCGATCTTTGATACTATTTCAAACTATGAGTTCTATTAGATCGAATAATACAAGTTTGAAATATATAGTTTCTAAGATATAGGAATCAGACAATTTAATTTCTTTTTTACCTTATCCTTTGATGTGTCAAACTATGAATTCTGCTAGAAAATTAGTAAACATTTGAAAAATTAAAGGTTGCAAAGATAAAGGAAAAAGAAAATTAGATTTTGTAGCAAGTGCTTAGTAAGAGCATACATATACTTTTTATTCTGTGTTTTTTAAAACGCATCTTTTAGTTTTTAATTTTCTTGGAAGCTCTAGCCGCGCAGACTCAGAGCCGTTAGATAATACCAATTTCTACGTTAGGCATAACACAAAGTGTAAACAAACTTAATATATCGATCTTATTGTTAAAGGGAAAATCCGAAAAATTTAGATACTAAAATAAAATCATAAGGGGGCGCTGCTCTAAGGTTTAAACCCAATCTACAAGTACCCCCCCCGGCAGCCCTGTTAGAATAAGAATCTCTGTAACTATTTCTAATCTGAGATTAGAAGATTTTCAATGATTTAATCTTATATTCATCTTGCACTGCTCTGCTGGGTACTCAGGCTCAGCAAAGAGTTTAAGTTTCTTATTTCATCAGATTTAATCCAATCAGTGTACGGTTAGATAAACAAACATGTTGTCTCCTAGAGTCCTCATTATTCTTAAAACTAAATCTAAACATATTAATATTCTTATTTCATCAGATTTAATCCAATCAGTGTACGGTTAGATAAACAAACATGTTGTCTCCTAGAGTCCTCATTATTCTTAAAACTAAATCTAAACATATTAATATTCTTATTTCATCAGATTTAATCCAATCAGTGTACGGTTAGATAAACAAACATGTTGTCTCCTAGAGTCCTCATTATTCTTAAAACTAAATCTAAACATATTAATATTCTTATTTCATCAGATTTAATCCAATCAGTGTACGGTTAGATAAACAAACATGTTGTCTCCTAGAGTCCTCATTATTCTTAAAACTAAATCTAAACATATTAATATTCTTATTTCATCAGATTTAATCCAATCAGTGTACGGTTAGATAAACAAACATGTTGTCTCCTAGAGTCCTCATTATTCTTAAAACTAAATCTAAACATATTAATATTCTTATTTCATCAGATTTAATCCAATCAGTGTACGGTTAGATAAACAAACATGTTGTCTCCTAGAGTCCTCATTATTATTAAAACTAAATCTAAACATATTAATATTCTTATTTTGTTTCTGTCCAAAAATTTTCGATGGTTTATTTCACAAATTTTAAAGAAATAACGATTTAAAACGAATTGAAAAGAAAGGTTAATTGAGTCTTGGCCACAATCTCAAATTTTCTTATCCTTAAATCATTGGAACCTTATGTTGTAAACCTGTTGTATTTTAATGTTTGATTACTTGATTTAATGTGTTTTATACTTTGAAATATATAAGGTTGGGTTGCAAAGATATAAGGATAAAACAAATCAAGGTTTGATAAGAAACAAAAAACAAATATTTATTTGCATTTAAAATCATTATTTAAAACTTAAATGTTGATCAGTAACCAAGGATATGATTAAATGAAAAATACCTTTAGCCAGACAATAAATGTTAATCAGTAAACAAGTATATTATTAAATTAAACATACCTTTAGCCAAGGTACTAATGCAAGGAAAGTTAATTGCGGTCGCGTATACTCTGCGTACATTTTGAAATCAGTTCTCTCTGGGCGGAATTTGTAAACAAGAATAGATGCATCAAAGTTCGTTCAGTATCCGAGGACTGAGGAGGATAAAAACATTAAATTTTGATAATTTTGAAAATTCATATAATAGTTTCCTAAAACCAGAATATTTCTTAGATTCTTTTTGTGAAAATGGATTCCATGTCAGGCTTCGACATCCGCCTTGTGTTTACTTTTCCGCCCATTGACAGAACACTGCAGTACACAAAATGCGTACACCTCTGAAATCACTTTCCTTGCATTAGTACCACGCCTTTAGCCAGACACTAAATGAAAGTAAACTTTAAACAATAGAAATTAATATATTCTGTAGACATTTTTTGACTTAAACGCTAGAATGAAGAGGTATCGTAAAAC